GGTAAATGCAGAGGTGAAAGTGGACATCCTTATCTGTTCCTGATCTTAGAGGGAAGGCTTGAAGTCTTTTTCAATCAATTATGTTAGTTAAGGGCTCTCTTCACCTTCTAAAGTCCCATTATGTTTATATTGATTGGTCTGCTTCTTGGTGTCCCACAAGTTCCTTAGTCTCTGATCACTTTTCTTCATTCTTTTTTATTCTGTTCCTCAGAATATGTTGTTTTAATTGTCTTATCTTCAAGTCCTCTGTTACTTTCTTCTGCTTGCTCAAATCTGCTTTCAACCTTCTAGTATACTTTTCAGTTTTTCTACTTTTTAGCTTTGTGCTTCTTTGGTTTCTTTTCATACTTTCTCTCTTTTAATTGATAATCTCATTTTGTTCAAACATTGTTTTCCTGATTTTTTTCCATGTCTTTCTTTAGCTCCTAGAGCATCATTAAGATGGCGGTTTTAAAGTCTTTGTCTAGAAAATTCAACACCTGTGCTTCCTTAGGTATGATTCTCTTGATGTCTTTTGCTCCTTTGGAGAGATCATTGTTTCCTGTTTCTTTTTATATCCCAAGAATTTTCTTGTTAAAATTCAACATTTGAATCTTATAATGTGGTAACTCTTATTGTAGCAATTTTAAATTCTCTATCTGATAGTTACAGCATCTTGAATATATGGATCTGGTTTCATTGATCACTTTATCTCTTTACAGTTTGTTCTTTTCTGTGTTCCTTATAATTTTGGTTGAAAGCTGGAAATTGCAGCCCAGGGTCGGTGACTCATGCCTGTAATTCCAGCACTTTGGGAGGCCGAGGTGGGAGGATCATGAGGTTAGGAGTTCAAGACCAGACTGGCCAATATGGTGAAACTCCGTCTCTACTAAAAATACTAAAATTAGCCAGGCATGCGTGTTGGCAAGTACCTGTAGTCCCAGCTACTCGAGAGGCCAAGGCAGAAGAATCACTTGAACCCAGGAGGTGGAGGTTGCAGTGAGCCAAGATTGTGCCACTGCACTCCAGCCTGGGCAACAGAGGCAGACTTTGTCAAAAAAAAAAAAAAAAGTTGGAAATTGCCTTAGGACAGTAAAGACTAATGTAAATAATTTTGCCTGAACATGATGCACCTTTCCATCTGAAGGCCCTTAGTACATGGGATTGAGTCAGTCTAATCAGAAGTTGAGTTTGAGTTTTATCATTATTATGGCTACCTTAATTCACCACAGCTTCAAATTTGTCTTGCCATACCTTGTGCTTAGCATGTGGGCTAGGCTGCCAAGTGTTTCTTAATGTTCCTATTACACCTTTAGCTTTAGTCTTTGTCTGTGAAGCTCTTTCTATGATAGTTTTCCCTCTTTGCTCTTTTCCCTCATCAGGTGGTACTCTGCTGTTACTAAGTACTTAATGCTTGCGAGCCTGGGGTTGAGGGTTTGGCATGTCATTCTCTGTCGCCATGGTTCAACCGCAGTCTTAGGTAGACTTTGTGTCCAGGACTCAGGTAGAGGTTTTCTAGTGGTTCTTCCCCTTACATAGCATTTTAAGAGATTCGATGTTCAAGACCCTGGTGATTTTCTGCCTCTGTGTCAGAGATAGAGGTTCTCTTTTCATGTCTTCAATGGATCTTCATCTGGGCTTGGGGTAACTGGGTTTTCAGGCCTTCCCTCAGCACCTTAAGCCTTTAGCTGCATAGGAGACAAGGATCTAGGTAGTACATCCTGCCTTTTCTGCAGTGATGGCTACTTATTGCTGAGGTCTCTACCAGGGAGGCTTTATCTGCTCTCTTACACTTCTTCAATGTTTTCGTAAGTACCCAGCAAAGTTCATGGATAAAACCCTTCTAGTAACTGCAAACTTATGTATGCGGTTCCCAAGGGTTTTCTACATGTTAATCATGTCATAAACACTATGATATATCATTACTTTTTTATTAAAAAGTTAATTGCCTTTTAAATGAATATATGTTTATATATATTTATATATTTATATATCACATATAACATCAGATATGTCATTAAATAGTTCATATTTGCAAGTACATTTACTCAATTCTTAAGCTTCTGTATGTTGAAGCACCAAAACTTCTAGATTTTTCCTGTATAAATATTCTCATATCTTTTTCTTATGAAATAAAAAGGTTAGTCTTAGACCTTAAGTATTAGGAGTGAGCACAGGAAATATACTAGTTCCATGACATGACTATAATATGTAAAAATATACATATTTTTCTTTAGAAATGAAGCAAATGATAGCCACAGAGTTAAATAACTTGACCCTCATTAACTAGTCACGGGAACCAAAATTATGCTTGGCTTAGTGATACAAATATGTACAAGAAAATATTTTAACTCTCTTCTTTGGAATAATGACACAAACATTATTCAGTCATCCTTGTTACTCATATCCAAGACCAAAAGAAAGTTCCATCTTCATGCAGAGGAACTAGGAAGCTAGCCTCTAGTGATCTGAATGATGCGATCTGAATGGTGATTTCCAGCATATATATTTGCTTCCCATCAAATTAGTCAGCTTTAGAAATGACTACATTGGCCCATTAAAATTCAGCTAGCAAAACATTCTGTACCCAAATAAATATAGAGAGATCTAAAAGTTATTCCATAAAGCAGGAGTCAGCACACTAAAGCCCTTGAGACAAAGGTCACCTGTGTTTGTGCAACCTGCAAGCTGAGAATGTTTTAAAAATATGAAGAGAAGAATAATAGTTTATGACACATGAAAATCATATGAGATTCAAATTTTGGTGTTCCTAGTTTTATTGAAGCATAGCCAGACTTACTTGCTCACATTGTTTATGGCTGTTTTGTGTTACAGTGACAGAGTTGAGTAATTGCAACAGAGACTAGATGTTACTGCATAAAATAGTGGCTCGCTGGCCCTTTATAGGAAAAGTTTAATGATCTCTTAGAGTAATTGAGGAAATCTGGGTGTAATACCATTAATATTTAGCATTTTTGAGAAAGTGCCTGATTACCAAACTGGTATATTTCTTAACACCTGGTAATATGCAGTTCCCTACTTAATAATTATGGATATTTTCAATGGATATATAATTTTTGTCTGACACTTTTTCGAGAATATTAAAGATGCCATTTAATAATAGAAGCAACTGGCTTCTATATTTCTGCTGAGAAATCATTTCATTCTTATCATTAACTCTACTAAATGTGTCTTTTTTCCTCTGGCTGTTTCTGGGATTTCTGGTTATCTTTGGTCTTCAGAAATTTGCATGTTACACTTGTCCTTCCCATACCTTGATCTCCATCTTGTGTCAGCATTTTCTTGTTATTTAATCTGCTTGAGATTTTCTTAGTTTTGGGGGGGTACATGGGTTGATTTTTTCATTATTTTTTAAAAATCCACCATTATCTCTTTGAATGTTTCCTCTTCTGATACTTGTTACTTACGTTAGAGTTTTTGATATTGTCGTATACATCTTGGGTTGTATGTTCACTTATGTTCTGCTTTCTTCTTGTGTTCACTTTAATGACCTATTTTCAAGTTTATTGGTTCTTTTCTGTCTAGCCTGCTGTTATGATCATTGAGTGAATTTATTTGTCATGTATTTTTCTAGTATTTCCATTTGTTTGTTTTTTGGTTTTTTTTGAGACAGAGTCTAGCGCTGTTGCTCAGGCTGAATTGCAATGGTGCAATCTCAGCTCACCACAACCTCTGCCTCCCAGGTTCAAGCTTTTTTCCTGCCTCAGCCTCCCAAGTAGCTGGGATTGCGGGCATGCGTCATCATGCCCAGCTAGTTTTGTATTTTTAGTAGAGATGATGTTTTTCCATGTTGGTCGGCTGGTCTCAAACTCCCTACCTTACATGATCCACCCACTTCAGTCTCCCAAAGTGCTGGGATTATAGGCATGAGTCTGCAGATTGCTCATCTGTTCACACCATGTTTTGTTTTGTTTTGTTTTGTTTTTCCATTTCCACTAGATTATTTAACATATGTATAAGAATTATTTTAAAGTCTTGCTGTCGTAATTCCTACATCCGAGACAATCTCTATGGTTGTTTTTATTGGTTTTTCCATCATAGAGTTCTAAACTCCTGACCTCAAGCAATTCTCCTGCCTTGACCACACAAAATGCTGGGATCATGGGCATAAGCCACTGTACCTGGCTTTTACATTTTCTTGTTTCTTTGCATTTTTTTTATTTTTTGTGACTGATGTTGTGAATAAAATGCTGCTTCAGTATTTTCTGCGAAGTCCTGGAGTGTCCCAGAGGTATTTTCTCTGCTACCTTACCCTGCTCTTAGCTTCTTTAAGGCCAGTGAAGTGCACATAGTGAAGACACAGAGTACTTTGGAAAGATTTCTTTTTTTTTCCCCCCTTGAGACAGAGTCTTACTTTGTCGTCCAGGCTGGAGTGCAATGGCATGATCTTGGCTCACTGCAATCTCTGCCTCCAGAGTTCAAGCGATTCTCCTACCTCAGCCTCCCAAGTAGCTGGAATTATAGGTGCCCACCACCATGCCCAGCTAATTTTTATATTTTTAGTAGAGATGGGGTTTTGCCATGTTGGCCAGATTGGCCTTGAACTCCTGACCTCAAGTGATCCACCCACCTCTGCCTCCCAAAATCCTGGAATTATGGGCATGAGCCACTGCACCTGACCAATTTCTTTGATTTCTGAAGATATTTTTATCTGACGTATATACTACCTGGTATGTAGTAGACACCCAACAAATATATGTTTAATGCATATTAATCTTGTCCTCTCAGATTTCAGTGTTAGTAGGATGAGAAGCCAGATAACAGAGGCTTTTCATCCTGTCTTTGCTCTATCTGGTGATATAATCCAGATCATTGTCGGTCCCTTAGAGAAATAATGAAGTTATAAAAGAAGGACTTATTAGGCTCCTTGAGCTGTAATTAAATGATTTGTGACATGCTGTGTCTTCTAGCTTACCCAAGTAATGAAAGTCACATGTGATCTCACAAGTATGGGAAGTAAGAAATTGTTTTATCTGTTCTTCTACATGGATTTTTCTCAGGTGTGGGATACCACATTGTCATGGTGAAGACGCCTGACTGTAATGTCACAGAAATCTCAAAATTGATTCATCATTACATACCGACAGCCACTTTGGAGAACAATGTTGGAACTGAATTATCATTTATTCTACCCAAAAATTATGCACACAGGTATGGATCCAGAGAATGCTAAGTGAGTAATTCTTAGCCAGAAATCATTGTTTCTTTTCCTAGTTTCTTCAGGCTTAGCAAGTAGAGTTTATTTAACAAGACAAAAATCCTGTTACAGCTGCCATTTGCACTGAAAAGAGAGATGCACCTAATGGCTATAGTTTTCTGGTATTAATTGGGATAATTGATGAATGTTTTTGGTAGAGTAAAAAATTACTCCTGGTGAGTTGTGTAAAGAGAAATAATAAGATAATGAGAGGAAAAAAATGGATGGCTTAAATATGACTCTTAGAATGACACAAACCGAGAGGAAATAGGCAGTTTGAATGCATCAGTTAGCCAAGTTACTCATCAAAGGAAGTTCCAAAGGAAAATAACTTTTCCCATGATAACTATCCTAAAAAAGGGAAACAGAAACTAAGAGTATTCATAGGTGACTTTCAGAGTATCATATTTTTAGCTTCTTGTCATATACAAGTAAGTAGTTACTTTGGCATTCTCTAGATTCAAGCCAGTTATAATATTCATAAAGAATATGGGGGTTGGGGAATTTTAAAAAGGAAGACTTTCAAGAACAACAAGAATGTGTCATAAGGAAAAAGGCAAGGAAGAAGAACTGTACCATTTGGGTTTTGTTCACTCAGAAAATTGAGACGTTCAGCCAGGCTTGGTGGCTCATGCCTGTAATCCCAGCACTTTGGGAATCTTAGGCGAGTGGATTACCTGAGGTCAGGAATTCAAGACCAGCCTGACCAACATAGTGAAACCTCATCTCTACTAAAAATACAAAAATTAGCTAGGCATGGTGGCATGCACCTGTAATCCCAGCTACTCAGGAGACTGAGGCAGGAGAATTGCTTGAATCTGGGAGGCGGAGGTTGCAGTGAGCTGAGATCGCACCCTTGCACTCCAGCCTCGGTGACAAGAGTGAAACTCTGTCTCAAAAAAAAGAAAAAAAGAACATCAGGAAATTCTTGCACAGCAGCTTGGGGCAGCTAATCAGGCAGTGGAGTAGAACCAAGACCCTAATCATAAGCTGAAGTGGAAGAATTAATTACAGTGAAAAACTGGAAATAAAACTCTAGATGTGTTGCCCTAGAGATACAAGGCAGTTGACTCATGTAGCCAAGGTGGGAGGCAGATTTTATGTTGATGCCTTAGCCCAGGGTTGTAGTCATGATCCACCAGGAGCTACAGAATCCATCTGAAGGGGAGACACAGATGGAGAGCTTGCTTAAACTTGCCACACCATCTACCTGTCTGATGTGCATGACCACAAATGGCATTCTCAGACAAGATCAGAAGCGTCATGTTGAGATTATATGTAAGACAGGAAATGAGAGGACGTGGAAGCAGATGATATAGTGAGAACATATCATCTTACTAATCATTTGCACTCAGAGAAATATGAAGATACTCTAGAAGGTGAACAACTGATTGTAGATATCTGGGCTGTAGATACAGAATGATAGACACAGTACAAAATAAAATGAAAATAATGAATTTAGGAATGTATATATTTGCTCAGGATGACGTTTTCTCTAACAGGGAGAGCTTTAAGCTAAAAGAATTGGAAGGAAGAAAATATAAGAAAAAGAAATACCTATAAATCCAGTTATTTCAGAGTATAATATGAAAAGAATGAAATGATGGTTAAATACTCAGTGGCTTCTACCCCAGCTAAAATTTTGATAGCTAACAGCAATTGAGCACTTAGTTTCTACCAGACATTGTTCTGATATGTATTTATTTGCCTGAATAAATACTATGGAACATAAAAGTAGTAATGTTTAATCACATATACCTGTATTACAATTTATTGAATACATCTCACAAGGAAAGTCATCCTGAAATTTTAAAACAAGCTGGGCATGGTGGCTCACACCTGTAATCCTAGCACTTTGGGAGGCCAAAGTGGGCAGATCACTTGAGCTCAGAAAATTGAGGCTGCAGTGCGCTGAGATCACACCACTGCACTCCAGCCTGGGTCACAAAGTGAGACCCTGTCTAAAAAAAAGAAAAAGCAATTTTAACACAAGGTCTTAACTTGTAAAATAATGCTGAGACTTGATAGGATGAAACCTAAGCTTAGAATGTAACAGTGGAATGATAGATATATGAGATGCATCAGAATAGTGCTACATAGCAGGGAATAGTTATATGCTTAAAATTCTAGATCTAGAAGGTAGAAATGTACAGAAAAAACAATGGGTGACTATAGGAGGAAAAAGAAGCAAGTTATATATCACTTTGTGAAACTCCTGCAAGCTAGGAGGAGGAAGTGTATAATATATTCCTGATACACGTTTGTTTAAGTGAGATTCGTAGTAAAGGGAATAATTCAAGTACAGACTTGTAATATAGATATATATTACAAGAGTATATATGTATATAGACTTGTATTACTACTGGTCTCCTGACACATTCCTGACTTTTCTTGCCAACTATTAAACTTCCTAGGAAGATGGAGGAAATGAGAAAGAAACTGCTACTGTACAGCTAATTCTGATCATCAAGAAAATGTGGATTGCAGATTTAAAAAAATAAAACATGTCAGATAACTTTGGGAGAGTTTAATATACACCACAGTAGACTTCATCGCAGAAAAGGAGGACAGAACTTGATAGATTCAGGCACATATAAAATTGGAAGATATACAGAAAAGCAAGATTCCATAGCATGACCTTTTGAAAGGAAGTGTTCCTCAAGAATATTTGGAAATTTCAGTAATGAAATTCTGACCACCAAATCCCAAATCTAAAGAAACTGGAATAATACCTAAAGTGCAATAGACAAGAATAAATAAGAAAGGCTGATATAAAGTATTATTAGGAAGTCTAATATGCTATTCAAAGGAAATTTTAAAAGTAGTTCCATTGTACTCTTTTTTTTTTTCTTCCAAGACAGAGTTACGCTCTTGTTGCCCAGGCTGGAGTGCAATGGCGCGATCTCAGCTCACCGCAACCTCTGCCTCCCAGGTTCAAGCAATTCTCCTGCCTCAGCCTCCCAAGTAGCTTGGATTACAGACGTGTGCCACCATACCCGGCTAATTTTATATTTTTAGTAGAGACGGAGTGTCTCCATATTGGTCAGGCTGGTCTCGAACTCCCTACCTCAGGTGATCTGCCCACATCAGCCACCATACCTACCCCATTGTACTCTTTTTTAAGAGTTTGGGGTATCTTGAGCAAGGTTGCCTCCTAAGCAGCACAGTTGGAAATATATGTGAGGATTACAAAAACTCTATGTTGTGGAATGGAAACAAAGCTATTTGAGATTAGGACCAGCAGGTTAATCAGGAAAAAATAGACGGTAAATTAAACAGAACATGATAGATCCAGATGAAAACGTATGGCATGAGTTCTGCTTTGGCAATGCCTCTTTTTATGTACCTTGATTTCTTCTAGTTTTGCCTCCATTTATATTAAAATGAGATTTTGAAGCTGGGATCTGGCATTAAGAAAAAGAAAAATCTGAAATTATATCTTGTCCAAGAATGCCAAGGAAAAGAAGCTTTGATGCTCTCATTAACTAAACTAAATTCCTCAAATCCTCTTTAAATTCAACCTTTTTTATCAAAGAGAATGATCTTTTAATTAAAACGGTACACATAAGCAAAATGGAAGAAGATATTTTCAGAGTGTTCCTCACAGCTGCAAATAAATTCCAGTCTCCAAATGAACATGTGGTACATACAAGCCACTCAGATCATGATGAAAGGGCTATAAAGGAATAAATGCTAAAGTGAAATAACACAGTGACAAAGAGCCTATAAAATATATTTATTTTTACCTTTTTACAAATGATATGATGACTCTTAAGGTCAGAAAGATTCAATCAAATCATAATATTAATAGTAGATCAAATGGAAAGATTAAATAAAATAATTATTACTGATACAGGCTGAAATTGAACACAGGCCCATTTAACTCCAAAATTTTTCCTTTTCTATCTATACCATGATGTTAGAAAACTGGAGGCATGGCCAGGCATGGTGGCTCATGCCTGTAATCGCAACCCTTTGGGAAGCTGAGGCAGGCACATCACCTGTGGTCAGGAGTTCGAGACCAACCTAACCAACGTGGAGAAACCCCGTCTGTACTAAAAATACGAAATTAGCCAGGCATGGTGGTGCATGCCTGTAATCCCAGCTACTCAGGAGGCTGAGGCAGGAGAATCACTTGAACCCAGGAGGCTGAGGTTACAGTGAGCCACGTGCCATTGCACTTCAGTCTGGGCAACAAAAGCAAAATCCATCTCAAAGAAAAAGAAAACTGGAGATGTCTCATCCTAATTTTAAGCTTAATAAATAGATAACACCAATGATACCAAAGTTGATTTAGGGAAAAAAAGAGAGAAGAAAAGAAAAAACAATACCTGGAATGAGAACTTAGAAGAAAAATCACTTTATCAAGTAAAATCACCCCTCCGTCTTAGATATAATTTCCTCCTGAAATTGTATATAATTGTATGTTGATCCTGCAGAAATATCAACCTCCTCTCATAAAGACGAGAGAGAAAGAATGGACTGTGGACAAGAAACTAAATTTTGGAAGAACAGGAGCACACTAAGAAGTCATAAGAAATGCCAATTTTGAAAATAAGTGTGCTACAAAAATAGAAAACTTTTGAAACTCTTTGCTTTGTAGCCTCAATTAAATTAAAGAAGATGCTGTGAATCTAGACCAAGCAGTTCTGAAGAGGAATAATGAGATAAAGTCTCAATAGGGTAATAAATAACTCAGCAAGTAATTATGGCAGAAAATAGCAGAACTGATGAAAGACTATGTCAAAAATTCTTCCCAGAATTATAAGCAAAATTAATGAAGAATAAGGAGAGAGTATTACGTTACCACTACACAAACCCTAGAATGGCTAAAACTAAAAAGATGGGCTATAACATGTGAACATGGCAATTGGCTCTCATTGCTGAGAGAAGTGTAAAGTGGTAAACCTGCTTTGTAAAATATTTGGTCATTTCTGGTAAGCTAAGTATGTGCTTATCCTATGACCTAGTGATCACACTCCTAGTACGTACCTAGGAGGGACAAGTCCATTAAAATACATGTAAAATAATGTTTATACTCACAGTCACTTTATTCATATTAGCTCCAAATCAAAAACAACCAGAATGTCCATTAGCAGGAAATAGATGAATACCACTCAGGAATAAAAAAGTGAACTAGTGGTATAGGCAACAGCATGAGGAAGCCTCAAAGACATTTTGTTGGGCCAAAAAGGCACATACTGTAAGATGCTGTTGATACAACGCTCAAGAAAATGCAAAACGAATCTCTGCTTCTAGAATTCTAATAGGATTGTTACCATATGTTGTGTGTATATGCACATGTGTTTGTGTATCTGTGTGTGCAGATAAGGGGGTTAACCAGAAAGGGCATCTTGGAATCCCCTCTGGGACGTTGAAACTGTTCTCTGTCTTATCTGGATGTTATCCAGGTATGCTCATATGGAAAAAATCATTTGCAACTTAGTGCATTTTATATATGTTGCACCTCAGAACACAAGAAAAAAAATCTAAAAATATATGTAGTGATGGAAAGAAGTACATCAAATAGTTAACAGGGATATACTTGGAATAGTCAGATTCTTTTTAAGTTTTTCTCTATTCTCCCCAAAAGATAATATATGTTATCTATATAATATCTATATTTATTAACTATATGTATTATATATAATATATAATGCATATAATTAGAAAAAACAGGTATATAAACTTATATAATTATAAAAGGTATATGTGAGGTGGTCAGATTCATAATATAACTTTATAATACAAATGGCTCATGAAATAATTTGTCTTTTTTATTTCTCTATTATGCTGTTTTGTTTACTGATTGCTGTATCACTAAGGAAGCTAGAGTTTGCTAATCTACTTATGGTTGCATGATAAAAATTAAAGAGCATATTTATTTCTGGAGTATATTAATTAGAAATTAAAAGTCTCTCATAATTACTTTCCATAGAAGTAATCTCTGAAAAGAGTTTGCATTTTTCTTTTTGTGTGTGTTTGTTTTGTTTTTGTTTGATGCATAGTTTTCAAGAATACTGCATGCAGGTATTGACATGTGTACAATCATAGTAAAAGTTTTTTATTTTTATTTTCCTTGAGATGGAGTCTCATTCTATTGCCCAGGCTGGAGTGCAGTGGTGTGATGTTGGCTTACTGCAACCTGTCTCCCAGGTTCAAGCAATTCTCCTGCCTCACCCTCCTGAGTAGCTGGGATTATAGGTGCACACCACCACACCTAGTTAATTTTGCATTTTTAGTAGAGACAGAGTTTCACCATGTTGGCCAGGCTGGTCTCAAACTCCTGGCCTCAGATGATCCACCTGCCTTGGCATCTTAAAGTGCTGGGATTATAGGCGTGAGCCACCACGCCCAGCCCATAATAAAAGTTTTTTAGAAATGGAATCCTACCATACTGATGTTCTGAATCTTGTCTTGTTCACTCGCCAGCATTTCTCACCTAACTTTCTATGTTAGGAATTGTAGGCTTTCTTCATTTATAAAATGACTGTGGAGAAATCTACATTTTAATTATATCTTATTCTATCATATATTTATACCTTAATTTATTTGCTTATTAAACTGATGATGGATGTTTAGGTTATCAACACTTTGTGCTATATTAATACATTTAAAGCAATACACAATTTAATTCTAACTTTGTCATATAGTGCATAAAGCCAAAAGAACCAAAAATAATTTTGCCAAAATATTCGTGTATTAACAGTGGTTATCTTTGATGGATGGTATTATGATAATTTTTATTTATATGCTTATTTTCTGAATTTTGTACAATGTACACACATTAATTTTTTTTGGTGGGGGACAAGCTTAGGTGCCCTATCACCCAAGCTGAAGTGCAGTGGTACAATCACAACTCACTGCAGCCTTTACCTCCTGGGCTCAAGCAATCCTCCCATCTCAGCTCATGTGTAGCTGGAATCACAAGCATGCACCACCATGCTCACCTAATTTTTTTGTTTTTAAGAGATGAGGTCTCATTATTTTGCATAGGCTGGTCTCAAGTTCCTGGCCTGAAGCAATCCTTCTACCTTGGCCTCCCAAAGTGCTGGTATTACAGGCATGAGCCGCCACACTCAGCCCAAATTAAAAAATGAAAAAGAAGAAAATAAGAGTGAATCCTAGCTGAGAAGTCATATATTGAAAACGAAGAAACATAAGAGAAAATGGACAAGATATGTCAAACGCTGGCTGTCACACAGATGGATTATATCTATTCTAAATAACCTTGAGGTGTAAAATTAGAACTAATGTGCAAAACTAGACAGAATGTAAGCTTGAATATGGAGGCAATTTTGATAGATTTTCTAAAAGAAAAATTTTAATTCCCCTAACACTGAGTCTGTGGAAAGATAGATTTAATTGACCTTCATTGGGAATATGATAGAGATGGATTTGAGAACTGGAGGTTTCTGAAAAAGATAATTGTTTGAACACAACATTCTGTAATACATTCGCAGGAAGACCATTCTTTAAAAGATTTGATGTCTCCATATTTCATCTGCTCAACTTCCATAGACTTTTCTATACATTTAATCACATAGTTCTCTCGTTTTTAAGTCTTTAAGTTTTACAGCACTTACTCCATTTTCTATTTTTGAGTATCTCTTTTTATTATTGTGGATGATTTTTTTTTTTTTACTGAGTAATAGGAACCATAGCATACACGTGTGTTAACTCATATTCACTGACTAGAGGTATTAACATATATAGAGCCTCCTGACAGTTGTCTTAGAAGACCAACAATATGTGTATCCAAGAACTAAGCAGAGTGGATTCACTCATATTCTCTTTTTTTCTTTAAGTATGAAATGATATGTGTACTTTGCATAAAATTCAGAAAATAAATTACTATAGCAATTTGCTAGTTCTTTCTCTACATTTGTGCCACCTTTCTGATTTACCAGAGGCATAAAACTACAATAAGCCTCGAAATACAAAATGATCTACATTTTCTCTACTGCTAAGTGGAAATCATCTTAGAAGAAAAAGACATAAATATGAAAATCATCTGGTTTGGTGCTAGTTTTTTCTGTTCCGCTTCTATTCCTAGTTTTGAAGCTCTGTTTACTGCTCTGGAACAAGAGCAAGAAAACCTGGGCATTGCTAGCTTTGGTGCCTCTGTCACTACCATGGAAGAAGTCTTCTTCAAGTGAGTAACAACATACAGGGAAAAGAAAATCCTTGGAGGGAAAAGAACATGTCTTAGTTCCCTTTGTAAGCTCCCCAGGCTTTCAGGTTTTATCCAATAGTAATTTAAGGGCAACAGGACATGTGTGGGAACCATTACTCTACCGCAAGTACCATGTTGCTTCCAAGTAATGATTTCTGCCCAGCAATGAGCATACCAAGGAGCCTTCTGAGTTGGGGGCTGCAACTCACATTCTCCAAATAGGGTATATTGGGATGAGGTTGGAATGAAATACTTTGTACTTTTTTACATAGGGTCAGTTACATGGAAGAGTCACAAACAGATATCAAAGCTATGCAGTCTTCCTCCCAGGTGGGCCAATCGTCTAACAGGAACTGGAATAAGAACATGTCAAGAAATGTTGAGAGAGCAGATCCTCCCACCCTGAATGAAAGCACTACTATTCACTTTAATACTGGGGTAAGCACCTTTACCAAGAAACCTGGTGTATATATGGTTGGAGTACAAGAGGTACACTTTGTCAACCAGATGGTGAGCAGCCTATGCCACTTCCTAATCAGCTTTCTAATGCAGAAGTGATGGGTCCTAGATATCAACTATTTGCTTTCACCATTGTTATTCCTCCATCCTTTTTTTTTTCCCCCGTTTTAGAATTCATTTCTTTTCAAATCAGTAACTACAAGCTGTGTTGGTTTATTGAGGCTAAATTAAGAGGACTAGTGAGCCTGATTTTTAACAATTAAATATTCACAATATTTTAAGTATTTTAAGTTTTCCTAATGAGAATTGTTACTGTGTAAGGGATAGTTCCCTAATCACTATGATCCCTCATGTGGGAATTCTCTGAGTTGCCAAATATTTTTTTTCGTTCTTCTGTCAATTTCTTCTATAAAGCACCATAGTTTTCTTGGCTGTCAAGGGTCTGAGGGAAATCGTCCTTCTAAAATTTTTGTGTGTTACATCTAAAGCCAAACGATAAACATTTAACATCTTACAGGAGAGGTTAGTAAATGTTATGTAGAGATAACAAATATTGAAGGCTTAACAGGCCATCTGGTCTCTGTCACAATTACTCAACTTTGTCATTACAGCGCAAAAAGAACCATGAAAATAGAGAAATAAATGGACATAGCTGTGTTCCAATAAAACTTTGTTTATAAAAACAGACCATAGGGCCATAGTTTGTTGACCCCTGCCTCATACAAAGAAAAGATCGATCATACAGCTGTGTCCTGTTATACTACTCTTAGGCTCTAGTCCAAGTATTTACTTCTATAAACTTGATGTGTTTGTAATATAAAACTCGTATATGTTCATACCACAGAATTTCAAAGCATTCGTCTTAATGAAGTTCAACATGAATGGCACGCTTGGGTCTATGACTGTTGTAATGTTGTGTTTTTCTCTTTTTTCCTTAGTGTTCTCTCTACAGCCAGCAGTTCCGTGCCATGTTCGTAAAGAGGGTCATATTCAACTGGCGCAACTGGAAACTGCTTTTGTTACAGATCCTGGGACTCATAGGCTCCGTTGCCTTTCTCTTAAGTTCTGGTCACACTTCAGAGGATGAAATTATCAGGCAAATGGATTTGGGTCAATATGGCCAAACCATTGTGCCCTTTTCTCTTTCTGGGAATTCTGATTTGGCTGCAAATCTCTCAAAACACCTGAAGGGCATGCTCAAGTCTGAGAACCAAATACCTCAGGAAGTACAAGGTAAAGTTCATCGAGGAAAAAAAAAAAGACTGCTCTCAGAGATGATCTTCTTGTGTTACTTCCAAAGAGGGTCTTAACTATAATGTTTGGCTACCCACTCTATCCTTCCCCTGTTAGTCATGAATGTCTTAGAGCCAGTTATATTAAAGTCAAAGAATGTCCTCATTTTTTCAGATTTGTTTATTTTATTATTTTAACTTTTAAGTTCTTGGCTACATGTACAGGTTTGTTACATCGGTAAACTTTTGTCATAGGGGTATTAAGCCTAGTATTCATTAGTTATTTTTCCTGATCCTGTCCCTCCTCCCACCCCCATCCTCCCATAGACCCCAGCATATGTTGTTCCCCTCTATGTGTCCATGTGTTCTCACCATTTAGCTCCCACTTGTAAGTGAGAACATATAGTATTTGGTTTTCTGTTCCTGCATTAGTTTGCTGAGAATGATGGCCTCCAGCTCCATCCATGTCCCTGCAAAGGACATGACCTCGTTCTTTTTCATGGCTGCATAGTATTGCATGGTGTACATGCACCACATTTTCTTTATCCAGTCTATTATTGATGGGCATTTGGGTTGATTCCACGTTGCTGCTATTGTGAATAGTGTTGCAATGAACATACACATGCATACATCTTTATAATAGAATTATTTATATTCCTTTGAGTATATACTCAGTAATGGGATTGCTGGGTTGAATTCTATTTCTGTCTTTAAGTCTGACAAATCACCACACTGTCTTCCACAATGACTGAACTAATTTACATTCCTACCAGCAGTGTATAAGCATTCCTTTTTCTCTGCAAGCTCACCGGCACCTGTTATTTTTTTGACTTTTTAATGACATTTATTCTGTGGTGATTATTAAAATGTCAAGAAACAATAGATGTGAAGAAATAGGAATGCTTTTACACTGTTGGTAGGAATGTAAATTCATTCAACCATTGTGGAAACGGTGTGACAATTCCTCAAAGATTTAGAACTGGAAATACCATTTTACCATTTGACCCAGCAATTCCATTCCTGGGTATTTATCCAAAGGAATATAAATCATTCCATAAAGATACATACACACATATGTTCATTGCAGCACCATTCACAATAGCAAAGACATGGAATTTACCCAAATGCCCATCAATGATAGACTGGATAAAGAAAATGTGGTATATGTCCACCATGAAATACTATGCAGCTATAAAAAGAAATGTTCTTTGCAGGGACATTTATGGAGCTGGAGGCCATTATCCTCAGCAAAATAACACAGGAACAGAAAACCAAACACTGCATGTTCTCACTTATAAGTGAAAGCTAAACAATGAGAACACATGGACACAGGGAGGGGAACGACACACGCTGGGTCCTGTTGAGGGAGAATGGGAGGGAAGAGAGTTAGGAAAAAGAGCTAATGCATGCTGAGCTTAATACCTAGGTAACGGGTTGATAGGTGCAGCAAACCACCACAGCATACGTTTACCTATGTAACAAACCTGTACATCATGCACATGTACCCTGGAACTTAAAAATAAACAAATGAATAAATAAAATAATAATTATAATAATTATAAGCTATTCTGACTTGAGTGAGATAGTAACTCACTGGTTTTGATTTGCATTTCTCTAATGATCAGTGATGTTGAGCTTTTCTTTATGTGATTCGTGGCCACGTGTATGTCGTCTTTTGCAAACTCTCTGTTCATGTTGTTGGCTCTCTTTTTTATGGGGTTGTTTTTTTCTTGTAAATTTGCTTAAGTTCCTTGTAGACGCTGGATATTAGGTCTTTGTTGGATGCATAGTTTGCAAAAATTTTCTCCCATTCTGTAGATTGTCTGTTTACTTTGTTGACAGTTTCTTTTGCTGTGCAGAAGCTCAACAATGGGATTTTTGTTATTTATAACAAGTAAGGAGAACACTGGGCATAACTTGTTTTTAAATTTTTTCTAGCAACAGGGCTGGTGCATGTTTAGTTCTCTAGAAAACTATCTAGTTGCTTTCCAGAGTAGCTGTGCCATTTTACATTTCCCTCAGCAATGTATGAGTGATCCAGTTTCTCTGCATATTCACCAGGATTTAGTGTTGTCACTATTTTTGTTTTGTCCATTGTGATAAGTGAGTAGTGATAGTATCACTGTGATTTTAACTTACCTTTCCCTGACTTGCATTTCTTCATCTTTTCATACGCTTATTTGCCATTTGAATATCATCTCCAGTGAAATATGTGTTCATCATTTTTGCCTATTTTTCAGTTTAATTTTCAGGGTCTTTTTTACTATAGAGTTTTAAGCAGTTTTAAAGATTATTTTCTCTCATACTGTAGATTATCATCACCCTAAGAAGGTTTTTTTCAGGGTAAAATTTCTTAATTTTGATCAAACCTAATGTATTTTTTTCCTTTTATTGATCATGCTTTTGATGTCAAGTCTAAGAACTCTCTGCCTAGCCCTAAATCTTGAAGATTTTCTCCTAAAAAGATTTGCAGTTTTCTAAAAAGTTTTATTTCTTTACATTTTACATTTATTGTCTATTTTGCCTTAATTTTAGTAAAAGGTGTGATATCTGAGTCAAGGTTAACTTTTGTGCCTATAGATGTCCAATTGCTCCGGCAGCAATGGCTCCGTTACTGAATCATGATATTTATTTAATTATTTTGCACCTTTACCAAAAGACAGTTGGGCATCTTTGGTTCTATTTTGAGATTTCTTTTCTATTCAAATAATCTATGTATCTATCCCTTCAACTAGTGCCATATTTGAAATCTGGTAGACTGGTTCTTCCCATGTTATTTTTGTTTTTAAAAGTTGTTTTGGCTATTTTAGTTTCTTTGCTCTTCCATATAAATTTTGAAATAAGTTTGTCTATACCTACAAAAAAGCTTGGAAATTTGTTAGAAATTGGATTAAATTTGTATAGTAAATTGAGGAAAATTGACATCTTTATTGTATATAGTCTTCGAATCCATGAATATAGGATATCCCTTTATTGACTGAAAACTTGTACTTCTTTCAACAGTGGTCTGTAGTTTTCAACATACAAGTCCTGCACGTGGTGTGTTAATTTATGCTTAAATATTTCATTTTTTCAGTTAATGTAAATGGTATTGCACTTTCAATTTTGGTGTCCATATGTTATTCTAGCATATAATTATTTGATTTTTGTTCTTATATGGTTACCATATATCCTGCAACTATGATGTACTTATTTATTAGTTCTAGAAATTTTTCTTGTTGGTTTCTTGGGATTCTCTATGTAGACTATCACATCATCTGCAAATAAGAGCCGTTTTCTTTCTTTGTAATCTCTGTGCCTTTTATTTCCCATTTATGTTTTATTACGCTGGATAGAACTTCCATCACCATGTTGAATCAGAGTGGTGAGAGTGAATGTTTTTCCTTGTTCCCAATGTTAGGAAAAAAGGTATGCAGTCTTTCTCCACTAAGTATAATGTTAGCTGTAAGGAATTTTTTAGATGCTTTATATAAGGTTAAAGAAGTTCTGCTCTATTCCTATTTTTCTCAGATTTTTTTTTATCATGAATGCTTATTGAGTTTTCTCAAAAGTTTTTTCTGCATAGATTTGTATAATTATGTAAGTTTTCCTTGTTAGTCTATTAATATGGAGGGTGATATTAATTGATATTCAAATATCAAATCAGCCTTGTATCCCTGGAACAGATTCCAATTGGTCATGGTGCATAATTCCTTTTATATATTGTTGAATTGTGTTTACTAATATTTTGTTAAGGAATTTTACATCTATATTCGTAAAGGATATTTATCTGTAGTTTCCTTTTGTTGTACTGTCTTGGTATGGTTTCATTATCAGGTAACACTGGCTTCATAAACTAAATTGAGAAATATTTTCAATTCTGTTTCTTAAAATATGTTCTATATAATTACTGCTTATTCTTCTTTAAACATTTGATAGGATTCTTCAGTGAAAATATTGGGGCCAGGAGACTTGCTTTATGTAATTTTTAGTTGAGAATTACATTTCCTTAATTATTGCTATTCAATGATCTGCTTCACATTGAGTTGTCATAGTTGTATAGTTTTTTTATTATTATACTTTAAGTTCTGGGGTACATGTGCAAAACATGCAGATTTATTACATAGGTATACATGTGCCATAGCGGTTTGCTGAATCTATCAACCCGTCATCTACATTAGGTATTTCTCCTAATGCTATCTCTCCCCTAGCCCCCACAACTCCCTGATAGGCCCCAAGGTGTGATGTTGCCCCCTTGTGTCCATGTGTTCTTATTATTAAAGTCCCACTTATGAATGAGAACGTGAAGTGTTGGGCTTTTTGTTCTTGTGTTAGTTTGCTGAAAATGATGGTTTCCAGCTTTATCCATGTCCCTGCAAAGGACATGAACTCATCCTTTTTTATGGCTGCATAGTATTTCATGGTGTATATGTGCCACATTTTCTTTATCTAGTCTATCATTGTTGGGCGTTTGGGTTGGTTCCAAGCCTTTGCCTGGAACAGTGCCACAATAAACATATGTGTGCTTGTGTCTTTATGATAGAATGACTTATAATCCTTTGGATAAATACCCAGTAATGGGATTGCTTGGTCAATTGGTATTTCTACTTCTAGATCCTTGAGGAATCGCCATACTGTCTTCCACAATGGTTGAACTAATTTACACTCTCACCAACAGTGTAAATGCATTTCTATTTCTCCACATCCTCTCCAGCATCTGCTGTTTCCAGACTTTTTAATGATCCCCATTCTAACTGACGTGAGATGGTATCTCAATGTGGTTTTGATCTGCATTTCTCTAATGACCAGTAATGATGAGCTTTTTTTCATATGTTTGTTGGCTGCATAAATGTCTTCTTTTGAGAAGTGTCTGTTCATATGCTTTGCTCACTTTTTGATGGGGTTGTTTGTTTTTTTCTTGTAAATTTGTTTAAGTTCTTTGTAGATCCTGGATATTAGCCCTTTGTCAGATGGATAGATTGCAAAGATTTTCTTCCATTCTGTATGTTGCCTGTTGATTCT